CCTGCCTAGGCAGGGGGTTGGACTAGAAGACCTCCAAGGTCCCTTCCACTCTGCTATTGTATTTGTATATTTGTATTTGGGTGCTCAACCTCCCAAGACTTCCCACTTAGGCACCCTTAACAACTGCAATGTGGAGAGTTGGGATTGTGGTCATTGAGCAAGGCAGTCATATGGATGTCTCACTTGACAAAAACAATGAGATGCAACTAAGTTTCTGCGGTTTCTGTAAAATGAGGTCTCTCTGTATTATTACGTTATTAAGCCTTGAAAAAGAAATGAAATTCATCAGACAGAGCATTGCCCTTGAAATATGTTAATGTTAAGAAACTGAGCTTTCATATTTTCCTGAGTAAATAATTTCTCCGTAAGTGATGAGGAAGATGTGAAGTACAGCATGCAAGTAAAATATCCAGTCAGGGCATGAATGGGATTAGGTTGGATTTATTTATATATTTATTTATATCCTGCCTTTATTATTTTTTACCAGTAACTCAAAGTGGTGAACATATGCCTTTCTCCTCCTATTTTCCCCACAACAAACCCAGCGAGGGAGGGAGGGCTAACAGAGAGTCATTAGCCCAAAGTCACCCATTTGGCTTTCATGCCTAAGGCAGTACTAGAACTCCCAGACGCCTGGTTTCTAGACAAGCACCTTCGCAACTACACCAGACTGGCTTTCTTGAATGGCGACATAGTTGATAATTTTCACCTTACCTATTTTCCTAAGTATTGGAAGGCGGCAATAGTAATTCACAATCAGATTCATGCACTTTTTAAATAAAATTCTACCTGAAAATAAAGACATAGAAAAGAAATCAGTTTTACCTGTCAAATTAAATATAGGGTATAGCTTCATTGTGTGGCTTTTCATAGGTTTGACAATTCTCTTGCTTTCGAGTCCCAGTCAAATAGGAAGATATTGGTTTTTAGCCTTTATAGACAGCTATTCCACATAACTGGGAGATTGCATTTGGTCTCTCTGTGTTATATATGTTGAAACTGAAATAACTTTAATTTCTAAAATGGTTTTTCTTCTTCTCTGAACAGATCATGAAATGTAACCATTTCAGTCCAGTGCTTCCTTAGGTGGAGAATAAGTGTGGTTTACACATTTTCTCCATTTCCCTTCCCTTTTCTTCCTTTGCACACTTCATCAGCACATCTAAGGCTAAATGCTAATGCTAACCTAATTTCCTTTTACATTTGAATGTGAGATTTAAGCTCCAATTAAAAGGTTTGATTGTAAACATTTATCTCGATGTGCACATTAAAATTGTGATTCTTAGTTCAAATTTAAGAGGACCTTCATTATTTAATAAATACATCTCTTTGCTCACTAAAACTTACTGGACTGATTTAATCACTTCCAAAGATAATAGTTCATTTATCACTTTCCTTTCTTTGATTTCCTTAGTCTTTATAAATATACATTGTCACTTTGAGGGAACTGATTCCTCATTCAGAAGAAGTAGCATACTAAGCTATATCATATATTTCCAGCCTGATAACTTTCCAAGAAAGCTGCCATCTTTGTTTAAAAAAACATAAAAGCTAACTTAATTCAGACACAATAAGGTCTTGGTATAATGGAAAGAAAACAAAAGCTGGGAAAAGTATCATGAACTCAAAAATGGAGGGGCTGAATCTGAAAGAATCTGAAAGCTCTTAATGTCATTCATGAACATAATCTTTTTAAATTTTATTTTAGGCCAAAAAATGGTGGAAAATACTGTGTGGGGCGCAGGATGAAATTTAAATCGTGCAACACTGAACCATGTTCTAAATTAAAGAAAGATTTCCGTGATGAACAATGCGCTGTCTTTGATGGGAAGCATTTTAACATTAACGGTCTACCTCCTAATGTGCGCTGGGTTCCTAAGTATAGTGGAAGTAAGTACATCAATAAGGCAACTTGATGTGGGAATTTGTGAATGATTTATTTGTTTGCTTGTTTATTTATATCCTGCCTTTATCTATATACCACTCACTCATCACAAAATCTCCAGAATGGTAAAGCCTACAAACTTGAAATTTGGCACATATGTTCCTCTTGGCTTCTAGGGACTCACTAAGAAAGGATTTTTTTCAAAATGACCATCACATCATTAGTATTTCTTATACAATAATTAGCACACTCTGATGTTCTACTCTCCCTCCCCACCTGAAAAGAACTCTGTTCCAACTGCCAGTTGCCTCACATTTTGTTACCTCAGTTCATACTGGCAGACATTCCACTCCTTCACTCAGGAGTGGTCTGGGGCTCCTTACAGTACTAAATGTCGGTACCTCACCAAAATGTCTATGCCTTCCACCTATGAAACTGCTTCCAGACTCAAGCCGGTGGGAGTTATATTCCCTTATGTGTTTCAATCACTGGCCACCATTGAGCCAATTAGAGCCTCCCAGTCCCATCATTGGCTGGCTCCACCCCTCGTTCTCCCTTCCCTCGCCTGGCCTGAGAAGGTAAGGGTGATGGTGGGGAATGGAGAAGTGGCTGGGAGCTGATTCTCCGGTGCTTCATGCTTCTGGAGCTTCTTCCGGCCCTTCTTGGTGCTGGCATCTCCTGCTTGGGAGGGGAGTTGGACTAGATGACCTACAATGTCCCTTCCAACTCTGTTAATCTCTAATCTGTAAACCAGAAGAGGAATGGTCTTGTCTTAGTGGGACAAGATGATTCATTAGGTAGTCTATATCTATGCCTTTAAGGACTTTAAAGGTCATCACCTTGAACTGCACCCAGAAGCAGACCGGTAGCCAGTGTAGTTCACGAAGCTGAGCTGCAATATGGGCCATTCTAGGCCCCCCAAAGTCTGCTCTCACTGCTGCTGAAGCTCCCAAATGGATTTCAGGAATAGCCCTATGTAGAGGGCATTGACTCAAAGAAGGACACAACATGAATTCAGGACTATGGACGAGAGAACTTTCTTACCAAAGAAAGTGAAAAGACAAGATAGAAAATAACAGGATTATTTTGCTTTGACAGTTTTAATGAAAGACCGGTGCAAGCTCTTCTGCAGAGTGGCAGGAAATACAGCTTATTATCAGCTCAGGGACAGGGTTATTGATGGCACCCCTTGTGGCCCAGACACAAATGACATCTGTGTACAAGGACTTTGTCGGGTAAATATTACTTTATTTTATTTAACAAGCTAACCATTTTCAAACACAGGTCACGTTTTCCATCTTCTCCTCACATGAACTGATAATTGTGTGACATTTCCTTAATTTAAGCCAGAGCACTATTGTATGTAATTTACACAATAGTTTTTCTGTTTTGCATTACTCCATGTCTAACCACAGTAGTAAAGTTCCAAATTGTACAGAATGTCAAGTATGTCAAGCATAAATAAATGCCATCCTAAAGAGAGATGCTGCTTGGTCCCAATGCATGGCTACGTTAATGCCATGTGTCAGAACTTGGAGGCATCAAAAGCCTGAACTGAACCTACAAAAAAAAGGCCAGTCCAATCCTAAATGGATCCGGATTTAGCATTTAAATTCTACTAATTGATTCCTGCTTTAGCAGAATGTATTGCCATTTCTCTGTAGGCAAGAACAGTTCCTATTAATAGTATAGTATTTGTTTTCGTGGGGGAAAATTCCATTTCATGTCCAGCAGCTCCAAGTTAACTTAGGCTTGAATTTTGAAGAACTGCTGTCAGTTTTATTTATTTTATTAAATTGTTGTCCTGCCGTTAATACCATATAGTTAACTCAAAGAAATGAACATACATAAACGCCTACCTCCTTTTTTCTCCACAACAACAATCCTGTGAAGTGGCCTGGGCTGAGAGAAAATGATTGGCCCAAAGTCATCCAGCCAGCTTTTCATGCCTAAAGTGAAACTAGAATTCACAGACTCCTAGTTTCTAGGCCAGCACCTTAACCACTTCATCAGGAGTGTCAAACTCCCGGCCCGTGGGCCAGATGCGTCAGTGCTGGCCATGCCCATCCCCATTTTAGCAAAGGGGAAAAAGTTGTGATACATCAAGTGGTGATGTAAGTTTGAGACCCCTGCACTACACCAATCTGCCTCTCTTTAGTTCAGCTGAGCTTAAAATAGGCTTTTTCGATCCCAATAGCCATATATCCCAGACTGAATTAGTAGCCACACTACATCTTCTCACTCTTGCAAATGCAAGCTGATGCAAATTTTCTATTCCTTTTTCCTCTAGTTCACCAAATACTTACACTTGGGGATTTACATAGCTTTTTTGACCCAGGCTTTGCCAAAAAGCATGAGGCAGAGTCCTGCTCCCGACAAAACCCCTTTTATTAAACGAATGTGAATTCCTCTCATTCACATTCCACAAGGCCTGCAAACAGTCTTTCAAAGGAATATTTATGAGACAGGATCTGACATCACAAGGGTACGACGTGCGATCTCGGAGCTCCGAGATCGCAGTCTATACTTTTGCCGCTGGATGTTCCTTTTGGACCTAAACCGTCCCGAAGAGACGGTGACAGGGAAGAGTATGTCTTGCTGATCTCAGGGACATCGCAAAGTCCCTGATTGATCCAAGAGAATCTCTTCTTGCCGACGAAAGAAGTGCAGCCAAAAGCTGCTGAAGTTGGGACAGCTTTGCAACAGGAGGAAAGCGGAAAGAGAAAGTGTGTCCATCTGGTGAGGAAATTTTATTGTTATAAAAGGCCAAAATCAAAACTAAATTAAACTTGCAAAGAAAAGAGAATAAGCGGCGAAATTAAGCTATATTGGACAGTGTGTTATCCTTTTTTTTCATTTTCTTTTATAGATGGAAGTTTTGCAAATATTTCCTACTTTTTAAAGTGAAAGTTTCGGATTTTCTTCTATTTCTTTTTTTATCTATGGATTAAATCTTTTTCTTTATTTTTATAATATCGGTTTGGATGGTTTTTTTCTCTTTATTTT